AAAATCACTGTGGATGGTGACTGCAGCCATGGAATCAGAAGACTATTGCTTCTTGGCAGGAAAGTGGTGACATACCTAGACAGTGTGTTGAAAAGCAGAGACATTACTCTGCTGACAAAGGTCCGTATAGTCAAGGCTATGGTCTTCCCAGTGGTCACAAATGGTGGTGAGAGCTGGACTTTAAAGAAGGCTGAACACCAAATTGATGCCTGAGAACTGTGGTGCTGGAGAAGACTCCTGAAAGTCCCTTGGACGGCAGGGAGATCAAACCAGTCAATCTTAAGGGAGATCAACCCTGACTATTTACTGGAAAGACTGATGCTAAAGTTGCAGCTCAAGTATTTTGGTCATCTGATGTGAACAGACAACTCATTGGAAAAGTCCTTGATGCTGGGAAGGATTGAGGACAGAAGGAAAAGACGGTGCCGGGGGATGAGATGGCTGGCTGGCTGGCATCACCGATGCAATGAACATGAACTTAGGCAAACTCCGGGAAGTGCTGAGGGACGGGGAGGCCTGGCCTGCTGCAGTCCATGGGCTCGCTAAGAGTCAGACACGGCTGGGTGACTGAATCAACAACAACCTGAAGCATGGCTAAAATTTTGGAATGGGAGCTATGAGGCCTCTATGTCCTGTGTGTTTACGTGAATCTGTATGTGTGTTGTCCATGTGTGGTGCTGCCAGAACTAATTCATAAAAGGGCTCCAGTTAATTGGAATAAAGAAACTTAAGAGCTTATAGAAATACTCAGAAATAAAAAAAAATCTGGCCAGAGTGTATTTCAGGTTCACACAACCTGGGAAATATTCAGTACTGAATTGATACCTGGTCCTGAAGGTAGCTTAAGCTTGTGGTTTGATTCATATAGACATGTCTTTATGAGTCATCAGCGTTAAGAAGAACACTTCTGTTGTACCTGGGTTTGAAAAAAAGTGAAAGTGTTGGCCACTCAGTTGTGTCCGACTCTTTGCAACCCCTGGGCTCCTCTGTCCATGGAATTCTCTAGGCAAGAGTACCTAGGTTTATTAGAAGTCTAGTAAGACCTTATTATATCTGTTGCAAATTTGTCAGCAAGGAAAGTAAGTAACTCCTAAGGAAAAACAAACAAAACATTTAAAGAAAGTAAGTGTAAATGAGATAAGAACGTTTAGGTAAACCCTGTAGAAATAATTGTTTTGGGACTGTCTATCTAAAATAGTCTCTCTATATTTTGGTAAGTTAAGACTCAATTAAATGGTGAGAACTCACTAACTCTCTGGGTCATTTCAGATAGGATATATATTGGAGTATTAGTTGCTGGGTAGGGGTGGGGGGTTGGGGAGGCGGTGTCTAAATTTACTTACTTTGCCTTAGGAGAGGAAGACTAAAACATAAGTTTTCCAGCCAGGAAATATGGACATGACAGTTTACAATTACTTTCTGCTCATCAGTTTTGCTGGAGGTAAGGTTGTTAAGGGTTAAAATTATATAATGTTGTTAAGCGAAAGAAAGTGGGAAAAGTGAAAGTGCAAGTCGGTCTGACTCTCTGCAGCCCTGTGGGCTGTACAGTCCATGGAATTCTCCAGGCCAGAATACTGGAGTGGGTAACCTATCCCTTCTCCAGGGGATCTTCCCGATCCAGGAATTGAACCAGGGTCTCCTGCATTGCAGATGGAGATCTGCATTGCAACTGAGCTGTCAGGGAATTAAAGCTACTGAAAAAGAAGAGCGATTTCAGTGCATCAGGAAAGTAAGGTGTGAATTTCAGTGAAAGAAGATGAGGAATGGAATGCATTTGTTAAAGGGAAAGAGAGAGTCTTTTGTCCTGGAGCTGGTCATTTCAGAATGGGAAAAAATTAGGGACAAATAATATGCATACAGATAGCTGTAGAAGGTTCATGGAAGAGAATCCCTGAGATATTAAATTAACTAGCATTATTTAATATGTTAAATTACATGGGAAGCATTGTCAAAGGAGTGATAAGCCTCTGATTATACCCTGGGTCAATGTTACTCATAGCGATAGACTTTTGTAGAGTTTATGTGAAGTTTCCAATATGTGGATATGTCCTGGTATGTAAGGTTAAGAGTCATAATTCTGGCAATTCTTGCCAAGTTTCTTTATCAGTTACACCGTCGGTCGTCAGATGTTTAACCTGCCTTTTAAGTCTCTTGTCATTTATAGACCTTTACTGTTGTGCTCTGATGCTGCTGCGAAGGAGCCTCGTGAAGACCCCTAGGAAGGCTCTGGAAGCAGTTATGAGAGTTCCAAGCCGAGATGACGTCTGCGAGGACTCCAGCCCATACTGCCGCCCAGACTTAAAACAAGATGCCCTCCTGCCCCCGGAGCCCCCAGAGGAGGCATCAGAGAGTTTTTACTCCCTGACAGGCATGGTCACACCCATACTTAGCCCCTGAGAAGCAGCTCCAAAGATGAGCCATTGTCCCTCTGCTTCTCTTGATTATGGGACTCAAGACCTAGAGGCAGGAATGAGACTGGGAGGAAGGGGGCAGGACACAAGCTTTAAAAAAGGACGCAGCCGTTAAGAGCAGCAGGATACAACAGCTGGTTCCAGCCAGCTCGGCCCAGGGTTGCAGGAGGTTGGATTTCCAGTAGACCCGAACCTCATTACTTGCTCATTGTAATACCTTAGCATCTAAATGATGCACCTACAGGTGCAGCTGCTCTGAAAGGCCAAAAACTGGGTGGTGCCCCAGTTCCAGGAAATCTCCACCCCTTCTTCAAGATAGTTAGAATATCCCTCCCCCTTGTCTTCCTGTGAAATTGCCCAGCCCATGAACCCTAATCACCCCGCACTCTGTCCCTTTCTAAGATGACCCAGTGCCCTGGGGCCGCCTCTCGCCTTCTGGGAAGGCTCACACTGCTTACGGAGTGTGCTTCTCCCTAAATAAACCTGCTTGCCCTTCACCGCCTTGCTCTTGCTTTCTTTCCTGTGTAAAGCCAAGGACCCTCACTTGGAGGCTCATCCCAGGGACTCTCTTGACCCTGGTCTGGGAATGACTGCCTTCTCGCAGCCCTGTTTTTTTTCCTGCTCCACGTCCAGTTTTTTTTTTTTTTTAATTATTAATTGTGGTGCTTAGCATTTAACATAAAGTTTAGCATCCTGCTGCTGCTAAGTCACTTCAGATGTGTCTGACTTTGTGCGACCCCTTAGACAGCAGCCCACCAGCCTCTGCCGCCCTGGAATTCTCCAGGCAAGAACACTGGAGTGGGTTACCATTAACCATTTCTAAATGTATATAGGCCACTGGTGTTAGGTGAATTCACAGTGTTATACGGCAGTTCTCTAGAACCTTATCTTGAAAAATTGCAACTCTGTACCTGTTAAACATCAATTCTGTTAGATTTTTTAAAAGACATGTGGTTCTTATTCTAACATTTGCCATCTCTAAAGGAAAAGATGGTGAGAGAAAAATGTATATACAATAACTATGTATATGGAACTATATAAAATACAAGATGTGCAATAAATATATAGCACTTAACACATTCTATATGAGGTTAATATTATGTAATACATTGAACATGCACATGTGCAGGTGCACATGTGTGTATGTGCACGTACATAGGAGCCTTGTCAAACCTCCTTTACGAGGAGCTTTTGGGGACTGTCTCTGTGAGGGTAGCTGTAGCGCATCCTCCCTTATTACTGTGGTCCATCTTCTCGGGCCTGATTGCGTCATCCTCTCCCCTCAGTGACCCAGCTGCTAGTACCAGCTAGGCCTGTGCTGGGTCCAGGACCCCACGTCCCACCCTCCCTCTTCACCCTGACTGCCCAGAGAAGCAGGCGCAGCCCTGGCTGGGGCTGAAGCCCTGGCTCCCGCCGCCCCCACGCCCCCACACCCGATGCCACACGGCCAGGCCTGTCAGCGCCTTGGATCAGGACAGACCCCTTCTGTCCTCGCTGCATCCCTCAGACCGCACCGCTGTGGAGGCCCCCGGGGTCTCAGGGAGGTGGTGGCCGAGTGGCCCCACAGCTGATGGGCCCCGAGGAAGGGTGACACTCGGCTGGAGTTCAGCCGGGCACTTGCGTGGGCCTCGCAGTCCTGGAGCCCAGGCTTTCTCCCGTGGGGGCAGAGCGGAGGGGTGTGGGTGGCTGGGACTGGAGTTCGGGGTCCGCAGGGAGGCCTGGAGGTGAGCGGGGCCCTGCAGACACGTGGCATCTGAGTTCCCAGCCTGACGGTCACCAGCACAGCGGATGTCATGGTGCTTTCTCTTCTCATGGACGCAGCCTGGTTGTCTGCTGGCACTCACGTGCCTCCAGTGAGGCCCCAGGGCTGCAGGAGGCCCCCATGGCCGGGCAGGCCCCTGGCCCCCGCCGCTGACCTCCCTGCCCGTCCCCCCAGCACTCGCGCGGACTCCTCCCTCCAGCGGGGCGGTCCCCTTCCTTCCTGAGGCCCAGCCTTACTCTGGGCTTGCCTCTCCCCACTGCTCAACCCTACCTGGGGGACACTTGCTCCCTGGGGCCCCCTGTCCCGATGACGATGCTCCCTCCTCACGGTACTGTCCATCCTTGGGCCCGGGGGGCCTCCTCCAAGCCGCCCTCCCGCCATGGATCCGACACCATACCTTCTCTTAATCTGCCAAGCGTGTGGCCAGAGCAAACGTGGGGTCATTTTCCTTTGGGGCGAAAGGGGGACAAAGATGGTTCCTGGGATGCTGGACAGACGTTGGAAGTCTGCAGAGAGGTCTGTCTGTTTCCTGTTCATTTCTGGAAGGCAGTTTTACCCAAGGTGGCCAAGGAGAGTGTGGGCCACAGGTGAACCGTCAGGTGGAAAGGGGGGTCCGGGGACAAGGCGGGGGCGGCTGAGAGCAGCCTAGGCAGCACCCCGCTGTGAGTGGCCCCTCGCCCCCGGGCTCCCAGGGTTCCCCCGGCCCCCAGCATCCCAGGCTGCCCCCCTCTCCTGTCCTGATGGCCCTGGCCTCCTCCCAGCCCTCTCCGCCCCGACATGCCGTGTCTGCTTGTCCATCTGCTTCCGAGGCCCAGCGTGCCGCTTACCCGGGGCGCCTTCCCTTCGCTGGACGGCCTGGCTGGGCTGGGAGCCGCTCGGATGCGCGCTCCAGGGCACCCCCACCCCCGCATCCTGTGCGCCCCAGGTGCAGGCCTGGCTGGGCCGGGGCGTCGGGAGCCGGCTGTCGCTTGGTCCCCTCTGCGGCCGCCTCTGTCTCACTGCCTCCTCCCTGCCTTTCTTGAGACTCAAGGAGAGTTTGGACACCAGGCAGTTTGATCTCTGTGCAGGTTCAGTGTCTGGAGGGAGGTGGAGGTCCTGGAGTGGGGCAGCATCCATGCCTGGGCTCAGAGGTGCCGGGGGCGGGGGGTGTGGCACCAGGGCCTCTGCCCCGGGACCCAGACCTGCCGGCCTGCCCGTGGGGCGTATCTGTGAGGTGTGCCCGAGGGTGCTGGGTGGTCTCGTCACCTCGGCCTCTGTGCCAAGGGCTGGCATCACCGGCTGGACGTGCTGCCTGCCCTGCGCCTCCCTGGGGAGCAGGACTCTGGGGCCCCTGTCCCCTCACCTCCAGGCCGATGGCGGGTTTGCCTCCTCTGGGTCACACTGGGGATGCCTGGAGGGGCTGAGGGCAGGACCTCTGGGGCCCGCTTTCGTTGCTGGAGGTGACAGCGATGTGTGGGCCCTGCCAGTGACTGGGAGGACCCTGGGCTGTGTGCAGCCAGCTGGACAGGGATGCTGGGTTTGGGGGGGCGGACGGTGGTTCTGGAACCGACCGCACGTGGACTCGTGCCCGGGGGAGGTCCCCCAGACACCTGGGGCCTCCTGGAGCCAGTGTGTGGTGGGGGGTCGGGCCTGTGAGGCCAGCACTGTGTCCCCAGCGCCTGGACACACAGCAGAGGCACTGGGCGCAGGTGGCCGGGTCTGTCTGGTGACATTTTCCTGGGCTCGTGTTGATGACGTTTTCAGAGGCGACTCAGGTCAGTGACAAGGTCAGGACAGAGCCAGAGAGGGTGTTGTTTGGAGGCACCGCCAGCCCCGAAACGGCCGTCACTGCGGCCGTGAGGCGGCCAGGGTGTTCGGGAGGAGGTGCGAGCCTGTCCCAGGGCCTGCGGTGTCCACGCTGTGCATCTTGGTGTCCGGGTCCGGCGGCTGGGTGGTGCGGGCAGCGGGGGTCAGACTCTGTCCAGAATGGGCCGACTCGGAGTCACCTCCCCCTTTCAGTAAAGACCCACCCCCTCTGAAAAACCACACGCGTGCCATGCAGGCGTTTTCTCTCTGTCGTCCCGCAGCCCCCTGGATTGCCAGGAGTGCCTTTCCCTGGGGCTTATTCGTGATTGTGATTCGTGATTGCAGCAGCAGCCTAGGGTTTCTTTGCCCTCTGCTGGGTCTTCACTCTGCTTCACTGTGTAGCTGATGAAGTTGTGTGCGTGTAACCTGTGTACATCGTGAAGTGATTCCCATGATCGGGTTCATTAACACGCGCATCCCCTCCTGCACTGCCTTCTCACCACGTCACCTTCTCCCTGTGTGGGGAGGCTGCTCACGGTTACTCTCAGCACACTGCGGTGCGCAGCGCTGTGTGATTGACCAAGGTCACCACCCGCACATCGGACCCGAGCTCACCCGTCTCAGCACTGGAAGTGTCGCCACACCCCCACTCCCGGTCCCCACCCAGCCCCTTCCTGCTGCTGATACTGTTTCTTCGCGGCCCCGGGTCTTCATTGCTTTGCACAGGCTTTCTCTAGGCGAGCAGGGCTGGGCGGTGTGTGGGCTTCTCTTGCTGCGGTCTCCAGGCTCTGGAGCACAGTCGCAGCAGCTGTGGCCCATGGGCTTAGCTGCTCTGTGATGTGGAATCTTTCTGGAGCAGGGACCGAGCCCGTGTCCCTCGCCTTTTCTTAACTAACCATCACTCAAGTCTGGCCATTCAGGCTGTATCTGGGGACACATGGAGCTGAGAAGCGTTAGGGTCTGACGCAAGTAAAGTCCTCAGGAGGGCCCTGGACTGGGCCCTGGACCCATCTGCTCTCTGCCGGATGGGCATTAATCACCTCTGGCTGGCCACCGAGCACAGTGGACAGGAGGTCCCAGATCCTGGGCCTGGCCCGGGAGGCCTGCATCACTTACCACAACAGACACACACCTTAGGGCCGGCATCTCCTGCCTGTCGCAGCGACAGTGGCCCTGTCTAGAAGGTTCGCTGAGGGGGCTGTGACCAGATGTGCCTTGTTTGGGGGCAGAAGGAGGATTCAGAGCTCGGGAGCCAGCGCAGCAGGCAGCCGGTCCCCTGTTCCTGATGAGAAGCACAGAACCTCCCAGTTCTCACTCACGATCATGGTCTCTCACGTGAAGTGGTTCTCTCTGAAGCTGAAGGAGCTTCTCTTCACGCTGGTGTTCTGACATTTTATAATATGGGACTTACATTTATCCTGGTTGGCACACAGGGAACTCCTTCTTGTAAGGGCTTATTGTGAGTTCCTTTGGAGAGGAGTTTCCTTTTCCTTCCCTCATCACCATCATCATTTACCACCATCACCACCGATATCATCATCGCCATCATCACCATCATCACCACTGTCACCATCATCACCATCATTGTGACCATCACGACCACCACCATCATCAGTATCATCACCATTCACGGCACCATCATCGTCATCATCAACATCATCACCACCATCATCAGTATCATCGCCATTCACACCACCATCACTGTCATCATCAACATCAGGACCATCATCACCAGCATCAACACCACCATCGCCACCACCATCATCATCGCCACTGCATATCATCACCATCATCACCAGCATCATCACCATCATCACCAGCATCACCACCGTCATCACTGTCATCATTTCCTGTGCTCTCCTCTGTCTGTTACCCGTTGGTGGAGTTCCCGTGAATCCATCCAGGGCACCAGCTTTGTCCTCTGAGGTTTGCTCGGCTGGGAAGCCCCCACCCCGTTCCTCTGTGGCTTTCTTATTTTGGCACTTGCCTGCTTGAAGTCCCAGCATTCTGCTTGTGGCTTGGCCACCCCTGCTGGTATTGGTCAGGGCTGTGTTTTGCCCCTGGTGTCTGCATTCTCTGTGTCATTCGTTACAGGGGCTCCATTACCTTGGTGTCTTCTGGGGTCAGTTTTTCTATTTATCTTGGTCTTATTTTTTGTTTATTTCAACTTTTCCTTAAATGGCCAGTGAATTGCCTGTTCATGTTTAAAGATGAAGGGAAGGCGAATTCTAGCAGGATTCAAGGTGTCAATATAAAAAGCAAAGCTGTAGGAATTTGCAGTGACAGTCACCCCCTCATTGGGCCCAGGGTCCCCAGAAGCTGCAAAGGACACCTCTGACAGTTTAAAATTTAGGACTTTTGATTATTGGATAAAGATACCATCAACAAAGTCCAGGAGTCAATGAGAGGTTTGGGAAAAACGTGTTTAACATTTGACAGCTAGAGAAGAATGTTTTTGTTCTCCAGAGGCCTCTTAGAAACTGGAAAGAAAGACATGTTTAGGAACTGAGCACGGGGCTTCCCTGGTGGCTCACTGGCAAAGAATTCGCCCACCAGTGCAGGAGACACGGGTTCGATTCCTGATCTGGGAAGATCCCACAGGCTGTGGAGCAGCCAAGCCCGTGCACCACAACTCCTGAGCCTGTACTCCAGAGCCCAGGAGCTGCAACTACTGAAGTCCAGGCATGGCTGAGAGCCCGTGCTCTGCAACAAGAGAGCAGCCCCCGTTCTCCGCAGCTGGAGAAACACCTGAGCAGCAGCGAAGACCCATCACAGCCAACAATAAATCCATAAAGTTAAATTAAATATATATATATGTAATTAAAAAAAAATAAAAGTGAACACAGACTGGGCAGCACAGAGAACACATCACAATGAAGAGATGCTCAGACGCCCCATCAGCATCATGAGGAGATGCAAATACAGGTGGTGGGGACTCTGCTTTTCAGCCAGAGTGGCGGGAAGGAGAGACATGACGTCTGCTGCAGGCGGGGCTGTGGGGCAGCCATGACCTCGGGTGGGGCTGGAGCAGGTGTGAGTGGTGGCTCGGCTCTGAAAGACGTCCCGCAGCTGCATCCTGAGATGGGAGACACGTGGTCTCCGACTCTGCGTCCTCCCCCAGGGAGCCCGGGCACCCGCAGGTAAGGATGTTTGTGCTGAGCCGTCAGGCAGTGACACCCGCGGAAGGAAGCCTGTGCCCCTGAGTAGGGCGGTGATTGGCCGGATTTTGGTACAACTGCTCGATGGATGGATGTCCCAAGAAGTACTGCTGAGGGAGAGAAGCAAGACACTGAGAAGCCTGTGTTGATAAAATCTCACTTTTGTAAGGCAGAGCGTGAGCACTGGGTTTGTGTGTGTGGGTATGTATGTGCGGCTTCGTGTGTAAATCTGTGTGTGTGAGAAAACGGAGAAAAGCATGGACCGTACCCACACAAAGATGACTTGCTGTGGCTGATGGTGGAGAGAGGAGGAAAAAGAAGGAAAAAAGACAAGGACTCCAAAGATGAAGCAGTGTGGACACCCTCCGTTCATGTACACGGAACGCATGCGCTTACGTGTAAACGACGAGGAGGGGAAACGCCGCACAGCTCCTGGCAGACGGGCAGGCCCTGAGGTTGCAGAGGGATGGTGGGGTAAGAGGGCAGCCCGCTGAGGAGTTTGCGAGCCCGTCTGCCAGTGGGGGCCGTGGCCAGGACGATGGAAGTCCTTGTACGTCTCCACTGCACCCATGCGCTTTGTAAACCAAAGGACAAGGATAAAGAATGGCTTCCTGGGGGAATGAGGGGCCCCAGGGGTGGGAGTAGACCCTTGAGTCCCTGCTCCCTCCCGGCGTCTGGAATCTGTCCTCAGGCCTTAGTGGAACTTTGTGGACATCGGACCGCCAGTACCTCCCCACCCCCAGGATTCTTCACGGTCCTGAGTTTGCACTGGTTTTCTCCCTTGACCCCCCTTAGTGAGACCAGGCGGGGAACCACACAGGGGCTCAGCACCCTGTCCTGATGCGGAATGCCCTGGGCTTCCGGCCATGGGAGTGCCCGACCTCCGCCTGCCTGCTGCCCGCCCCGTCTGGCTTCTTTGCTCACAAGTCAGATCTCCAGCCCCCTGCTGGCCTGCTGCAACCTTTTCCTCTAAAATTATTTTATTCAGCAGCTTAGGAAACAAGTGTTGTTTTATCTGGACGCTTTATCCATTTGGACCCTTAACCTGAAGTTTATTTATGTGGCTAATTATCAATCAATAGACACAGCCATGTGGAGAAGAGATCCAGGACGCTGGGAGGCTGCTTGCTTCAGGGGAGAGGGTAGATGCTGTCATGCTGCTGATGGCGTGTGCACACGCATGTGCGAAGGATGACACAGTGCCCATCCCCTTTCTTCTCTCAGGGTTGGACCTTCTGGCCTCTCCAGAACAGGCAGAGGGAGTCAGGGCTGATGGAATCCTAACCCTCTGCTCAGCACAGAGCCTGATTTCACAGAGTTAGTGAAATT